TAACAATATAGTTATGACAAGCCCAAGTATTGAACACTAGGGGAACAAGTATGATTTCATTCAGATAACAAAGAAATTAATTAAACTAGAAAAAAACAGTAAATTGGTGGGGTATCTTTAATCTAAACTAAGCACAATTTAATAACCAAGCAAGAGCAAACAAAAGCAAAGAACATGATTTAAACAATAGTTTTAAAGTACTTCCGTTGATTTATTAGAAGTGCAATGGATTTAAAAAGTTAATTATCGATTTTTATAACGATTAGATATCTTGATCCAATTAATTTAAACTAGTACTTATAGAGCAACTATCACAATGATCAAACAACTAGTTAACTAATAACCAATTAAATATTCGAATTGTGAATGAATAGATCTAATGATTAATCTCAGTGGTCATGAAAATCAATAAAAATATATCACGGATATCTAATACTCTCTTACACACTTAAGTTCACAACTATATCACCTAACGTAAGGATTTGGTCCATCTCTAGCCTTAACAATTTATCGTCATAAACTAATTAAGATACAAATTAATATAATTAGATTGGTCCTCAAGATTGTATATTTAACTCACTTGTAAGCAATAAAAATCTAAACTTTAATACATAAGGTAAAGCGATCAATCAAACATAACAAATAATCAAACTTTATAAATCCAACTAACAAATCAAACCATAGTATTTAGGGTTCATTTACATATAAATGGAAGTGAAAGGGTATTAGCTCATAATCATTACTGGTAAAACAGAAAACAATCACTAGAGAAGTGATAAACATGAAGTCTAACGCAAACCTAATGATTTAATGATGTTTCCAAGCTTTGATCTTTAAAACGATACTCTAATCTTGTTCTTCAGTCTTGATTTCGACTATAAAAAGGGTTATGGATGAATAACTTTTGTAATTGAGAGTTAGAATCTCTAGCATATCGATTTAGATAAATAAATCACATATATATAGAAATAGAGGAACTGTGTCACAGTAATGTGTTTGTCATGTTGCAGGTTGTAATATGTCCCTATCCTTTTTGAATTCAAAAGCTTGGCCGCGACGCCTGGGTGAATGTGTCGCGACACGTTTTTCTCGATAAATGGAAAGTTTTGATCTTTATCCATATCAGCTTCATTTTTGTCCCAATCTTCTCCTTTTCTTATTAGCTTTGATTTTAACTATAAATATCCAATTCAAATCTTATCAAGCATCATTAATCTTTAAATACAATATTCCAAGTTAATTCACTAAGATAATTACCTAAAATATATAATTTAATTATGGCAATATCAGGTTTTTCTCTCTTATTAGCCTCCATCCTCCAGAAAACCCTAGAGCTTCAAACCCTAGCTCAATCTTTTGCTTCTCGAATATTTGTGTGTTCTTGAAGAAAAAGATTGTTATTTTCGTGCAAGGAAGCTAGAACTAGAGAAGTTTCAACCTTCTAGTAATCTACTCTACCTTTGTAAGTAATAAAGTTTCAACCTATATGATTCTTCTTCATTGATTTAGTGTTTTTTGTAAATTTTGATGCATTTTGGTCCCTTGTGCCTTGTTACTTCTTGGAGTTTGGGAAACTCGAGGTTTGTGGGCTGCTTAGATGACATGTCTGGACTCATTAAATTGAAAAGAGAGCATGCATGATCTCTCTTTGAACCATGCAAGAAAACCCTAACATTTTTGGCTTGTTTTGGATCTAAGGTTGGTGTTTAGTATGTTAGAAGCTTATGTGTGGAGAAAATTAGGATTTTTATCCATTAAGAACCACCCTAGAAGTTTTCTGGAAAGTTATAGCCATTAACTTAACGGAATAAGCACTTAATAAGAAGTGGTTGTTTTGCCCAGGAGACGTTACACGACCAAGGCTTGATCGTAATGTGAGGTTTGGTCTGGATCACGATTATTTTGGATGTTAGCAGTAGCAATACGTGGTCACGTTGACCATTGCCTTTTGGTCAAAATTTTGATGGTTATGAAGTTTTGGACTGAGATTGGACCTCTGATTAGTAATGGTTACTAAGATGTGTCGTATGGTGAATTTAGGTGGTTTATGCTTGTGAGTTCGTTGAGGAGTCTTGTAGGTAGGACCTATACTTATAGCTTCAAAGTTTTCTAGCTATAATATATGTGACATTATACGCCCTTTGTAGGGTAGGATGTTTGTGTTGCTAAAATACTATAGTTGGACTATAGCATTTGCATGGAAGACTATAATTAGACTATAGTAGTTGTAGGAAACACTATAGTTATACTATAGAAATTACATGAAAGACTATAGTTCGACTATAACAATTATAGGGAAACACTATAGTTGGACTATCAACATTCATATGGAAGACTATAGTTGGACTATACCATTTTATGAAAGACTATTGTTGGATTATATCATTGGTATGTATAAGACTATAGTTAGACTATAACATTCGTAAGTGTATGCATTGTATGTGTAGTATACTTGGGGTACTCACTAAGCCTTGTGCTTATTCATTAAAGTTAAATGTTTTTCAGGTTGTTCTAGTGAGAAGGGAAATAATGCATCATGACTGTACTCACATCTATGTTTAGATTTGAGACTTCTACTAACTCTATGAATTATTTTATAATGTTAGAAGCAATTGGATACTTGTGTACCTTTTTGTGAACATAGTTTTTAGGATTTTTTTACATATTTAAAAAAATGGTTGAAAATTTGGGACATTACAACCAAAACCCATTTGTATAGTTAGGTATGGACGAGTAATGTAACTGAGTCTACCTGGGTCGTGTAACTGGGTCTAATTGGGCCTAGCAGTTGTGTCTACTGTCTAGCAATTTAACAAGACCGGTCCAACCATAATCTGGGCTCAACTACATCACATTATTATTATTATTATTATTATTGGTTAATGATTAGACTATATTATTTAAATAAAAGTTTTACATAGACGTAATGGGTACACGAGTAACGAACTATGTTGGAACCTATTTTTTTACCTGATTCGACTAAACAATTTGACTCGTTTTAACAAACTTATTGGTCCGTCCTATCATATTGGCCCAATTTGGCTTCCCGTAATGGGTGTGCTATGTCATCACTAACAAACCTATAAACAAAAAAGACAGAGAATATATTTTTTATGTGTATTAAGAAAGAGAGAAGCTAGAGGGTGAGAGTGCGAGTAAGATCCGTTTTCTTTTTGTTTCCCATAAAAAAATAGCATTTTTAAGTTGGGCATGGACAAAAATCACAAAAATGGTATTTGATTTTAAAAGAGTTAAGTGTTGTTTGTTTTTTTTATAGCAAAAATGTCTGTAGTCTATGGACCACATCTGCAGACATCTACATTAGAAGAGATGGACCAAATGTCTACAGCCTGCAAGAAGAAGACTGATTGTTTTTTAAGGTCTGTAGAATGTTTAAATAAACTGAAATTTACAACATTCATTCCATACTTCACATTAAACCACGAAAACTTGTTAATAACATAAACAAACATAAATATAAAATTGGAAATCAACATATACAAAAAACCATACATATTTTTATCATACACAAGCAAACATAAAACATAAACAACATAAATAAAACAATAATTTTTAAATGATTTTACCACATGTCATGACTTGTAATATCAACTTGTTTACAATATCACCCATTAGACTTAAATTACAATACTCAATATACATAAGCAAGATTTTTTTTAATGATTATACCACATGTTATGCATGGTATAAAAGAAACATATCAGGTTGATTTAGAACAAAATGATGAACATGTTTAAGTTATATTCAAACGAAAGAACAAGGAAGGAGTTACAAATACAATCAATCCATAATAAGAAATCATTGACCAAATATAAATTCAATTTAAAAAAGTTATTTTTTCAATTTCCAAACATCTGGTGTGTCCGAATGCGTTCTTCTACATCAGCAAAAAAAAATGTAGCCCTTTTTTCTTCTTGAATCGATCACATGTAAACTCAAGAAAATCAACTCTCACGTCGTCAGATGTGAGTCTATCTTTTCTCTCTAGATTATCAGTTCAACAAAAATAAAAAATCGAATAACAGAAGTTCAGTCATCAAGCTTGCTGTTAATGTTCTAGGATAATTTCTTCCAAACAAACCTAGTTATAATCGATGAACACATGTTATATATTCAAGAACAATTCTTTTTAGAAATAATTTTAATCTAAATTAAATCAAGTTACAACACAACAATTTGAAGCATTTTGTGAAAGCACATTTCAACAAATTTCAACAATAATACACAGCCAATCTGATTTCATAAGACAAATTCACAAAAAAAAATTGATTTCACCATTTTGAAATCATATTTCATGAACCCTAAAAAAATACGATGAGGTTGTTACCTGGAGGGGGGAAGTGGTCGGAAAGAAGAATGCAATGTAGGAAAGAGGGTGGCGACATTGGAGTTGACTCTGGCATCAGAATCGGACAGGAGGAGAAAGACGGCTACGGTTCTGGTTAGGCAGTGCACCTGCTCTGGACGTCGGTTGCACAAGGAGGAGACATGAGGTTGAAGAAGACCGGTAGAGGGAGGCGTCGATGGTGAGAGATGCGTCGATGGTGTATAGTGATGTTAGAGGCGTTGATTTTGGAGGAAAAAAAATCAGCATGTTTTTATTTGGCTTAGGTTTATAAGACCTTTGAAGACATTGATCCAGGTTTGTGTTAAGAAGACCTCTTGCAGACGTTTTTAGGTCTGTACATTTTCAAAAAACAAACACTCTGTAAGGGTATATGTCTGCACCTGGTCTGCGCCGTCAGACAGAAGTTGTCATGCAGACAAAAAACAAACACCTGTATAAAAGTTAAAAAAAAAAAAATTAAACCGAAACCATAGAAGGTTAACAGCCACATTGACCACATTTATAGTTTCTTTTGTTGTTTTGTCAAAATGTATCGTGGTTTTCTTAAATATTTTTAATGCCAACTATGATAGAAGTTAATGAGCTCAAAAATGAAGAATCTTTATACAAAAATTTAATATGAAATTCTAATCGTTTTAAAGAGGCCATTTGTATTGATCGTGGGAGCCTAAAAAATCCTATCGTGAGAGGGGCCGGCTTTCCATACAAAATTGGCGTCTCCATTTTATCAAACAGAAGTATGTACACAATCTATAGTCTTATGGAATCTATTCCTTCACTTCACTGATGCACGTTCAAACACGCAGCAACCCTAATTTCTGCTAAACATATAATTCTCCTGTTTTAATATAGTATATTTTCCCTCGGATTCATCAAAATATCCACCAGCGATCCTCGTTCTTGTTCAATTTTTTTGTAATTAACGTGTTTGATCATATCTCAATTGCAATCACTGTTTCGTGAGGTGGGTTCCCGTCATTTCTGATAATGACGACTGCTTCTGCACATTGTTCTTTGGGCGTCAATGCTCAATTTCATGAAAATTCAAGAAATTTTCCTTCTAAATCGGAGTCTTCAAGTGTTAATTTTCATTCTAATGGGGAATTCTTCAAAATCAGCTTGAAACCTAGCTTGGGTTCGTCAATTTGCTCCAAGGTATGCTACTCTCATGTTCGTCATTCTTGTTATTATTTATATTCACACTTTAGGATCGACTTACATCAACAATTTCAAGTCGTTGGTTATCCTTTTAGAATTGTTTGTAACTTGTTTTTGCTTATTATTCTAATCGTATTCATATGTCTATTCTTGATGCTGAATTCTAATTGGGGGTGGGTGAAGAATGAGAATTGACCAGTGTTAAACTATTTATGAAAAGTACCTAATTGCTACTAAATTATGTTATACAGTTTAATATATGTTAGGGGTGTTCATATGTGCTTTTTAAAGTGATTATTATTACTTGAAGGATCATAATTAGATCATCAACTCATTGAAAGCATGTATAGTTGGTAATCTTTTGTCCTACCCAAAAAGTTGGGAGATGAACTCACTTGTAATCTATTTTGTGTGCAAAAGACAAGAATGCCCTCCTCATCTTTATTAATGCCAAGTGTTATTTCTATATACAGGGATGTGTAGGTCGTGTATGTTCTCTACCCGAAATAGGCGATTTGTTTCCAGAAAAGCCCCCAACACCTATACTTGATACAGTTGAAAGCCCCATGCACTTAAAGAACCTATCTCACAAGGTTTAGTAACTTCTTACTTTTTGTCATCTAAATGACCGAAATACCCTTTAAATGACCGAAATACCCTTTATATTTTCTTTTTGCATATTTTGTCATCACTAGCTGACCAAGCTCTATGTAGGAAATGAAACAATTGGCTGATGATATTCGCTCAGAGTTGTTGTTTATAATGAATAAAACTCAAAAATCCGTGAAGGGAAGCATGTCAGTGGTGGAGTTGACTATTGCTATACATCGTGTCTTTTCTGCTCCCATGGACAAGATATTGTGGGATGTTGGAGAGCAAGTAAGGATTTTTTTTATGTTCATTGTATCTTTGGCAAATTTCAATAAATAACAATGTACTTTCACTTTAATTTAAAGTGATGTTGCAATTTGCCCTTTAATAGTTCTAACATGAAAGATTATGAAATTTGATGCTTTTATGATGATGAATACAATATGATTATTGTATCTGAATTCTTGAATTTTAAAGTTGGTAAAAAATAGCAACACCCTTTCACTTCGTTTCTAGTTTGATCACAAGACTTTGAAGATTGTTACTGAAACCTACCAATTTTAGAAACTATTATAAAAGTCATTCAACCACGTCAGATTTTACAGGTTTCTTTTCAAAAGTACCCAAAATAATCAATTGTAAGGTACAATGGTTTTAATAAAATTTGAAATGAAGTGAAAGTACGTTGAAAATCATTGCAATTCCTTTTAGTAGTTCTAATATAAAAGATTATGATGTTTGGTGAACTTATGATGATGGATACAATATGATTATTCTATCTCAAGTTCTTGATATTAAAAGGTGTCAAATTGCAATAGATAACAATGCACTTCCACTTCATTTCTAGTTTAGCCACTAGACTTTAAAGATCGTTTCTAAAGCCATCCAACTTTTGAAAAAGGTTATAAAAGTCTTTCAGCCATGTCAGCAGCATTGTACAGGTTTCAAACAAATTAGAAAGAAAGTGAAGTATGTTGTTATTCATTGAAACTTTCCCTTTAATACTTCTAACATTAACCTAAACACTTGATGAAGTTTGGTGCTTTTTGCATGATACCCTTTATGATAGATAATAAAAGCATGTTGTTATATTTTTGAAACATGAACAGACTTATGCACATAAGATTCTCACTGGAAGGAGATCACTTATGCATACCCTTAGACAAAAAGATGGAATGTCTGGTTATACTTCACGTTCAGAGAGTGAATTCGATCCATTTGGTTCAGGACATGGATGCAACAGCATTTCTGCTGGACTCGGTATATCTTTCAACACACTTTCACTTCATTTCCAATCTACTCAATATACTTTAAAAACCATTATAAAAAGCATCCAACTTTGGTCAAATTTTACACAAAACAACCAGTTTGAAAAGTAGGATGGTGTTTTGAACACAGGAATGGCGATTGCAAGAGATATTAAAGGGAAAAGAGACCGAGTAGTTGCAGTGATAAGTAATGAAAGCACTATGGCTGGACAGCTTTATGAGGCTATGAGTAATGCAGGGTATTTGGATTCAGATATGGTTGTAATATTAAATGATAGTCGCCAATCTTTGCATCCAAAACTTGAGGAGTCACCTAAAACACCAATTAATGCACTCTCGAGTACTTTAAGCAAGTTGCAATCTAGCAAATTGTTCAGGAAGTGGAGAGAAGTTGCTAAGGTATTATTTTCTTTAAATCAAGTATTGCTTGGGATTTTGCAGTTTCATAAGAGTGAAGGTGTTTGATTTGTTGGATTCCGTGGGATTTGGCCGGAATTGGAATTCAATTCCATTCCAATCCCGCGTTTGGTTGAACATGAGTACACATTTAATGGATTTCAATATTCTATCCTAAAACTCTTGGAATTCGATTCCCACCATTCCCTTGTTAAAAATACTGAAATACCCTTTTAACCCTAGAATTTCTCAATCTGCTTTCTCTCTTCTTGCTCAGAGATTCCATTCCATTTCCTGCCAACCAAAAGCATGACAGTATTCAATTCCTTCATATTCCAAGTCCTGCAGACTCCAATTCCTTTAGCAATTCACAATTCCTTCAAAAAAAATCTGCAAACCAAATGCATCAACTCCTGTTCTTTCAATAAAAATGTAATGTTAGACTAGACACATAGTTTAATATACACTTTTGATAGTTGGTTGAGATATCACATGCCCATAAATGATGTAAAACAGGGGATCAAGATCCAATTGGTGAATATCTGTAATTAGACAAATAGAATTAGAGAAATGAATTTAAGCTCCAAAAAACACTTTTTACCACCCTAATTAGACATTTAGACAAATGGTTACGACACTTTACAACAAGTCCTTCATGTTGCATAAACTATTTTCATTGTTTTTCACACAACATAAAGATTTTAGATAGTGCAAGACTAACTTTATTATCTTTAAAGTTATGTTTTTCAACTGTACTATGAATTTAGGCTCCAAAAATGTAATCTTGTAGGGTTTAACAAAGAGAATTGGTAAGGGTATGTACGAATGGGCTGCAAAAGTTGATGAGTATGCACGTGGTATGATTGGTCCACTAGGGTCAACCTTATTTGAAGAACTTGGTTTGTATTACATTGGTCCAGTTGATGGACACAATATTGAAGATCTTATATGTGTTCTTAATCAAGTGGCATCCTTGGATTCAACGGGTCCCGTTTTAGTTCATGTCATAACAAAGGAAGATAAAGTAGTACCAAATGAGAAGCCAATTGGAATATCAAATAAATACAAAGAGGGTATGCGATTTTATGCCTTTTTACTCTTTCTTGAACATAAAATCATTACGTGAATAGAAATCTATAAGTTATAAAAACACTTGGGAAGTAGAAATTTTCGTCCCAAAAGACCTTGTTTTAACTAATGTATAAAATCTTTTGTTCTTAAAACCGTTATTAAAACTAAATATTTAGTTTTTTTTTATCCTCTTGTATGAAACAGATCCTTATGAGATGGACCCACAACCGAGTAATTGCACCCAAACTTATAGTGACAGATTTGCAGAGGCTTTAACCATGGAAGCACAAATAGACAAAGATATCATAGTGGTTCATGCAGGAATGGGAATGGAACCCTCACTTAAATTATTTCAACAAAAATTTCCAGACAGATTATTTGATGTAGGAATGGCTGAACAACATGCTGTCACATTTTCAGCTGGTTTATCATGTGGTGGATTGAAGCCATTTTGTATAATTCCTTCCACATTTCTTCAAAGAGCATATGATCAGGTTTCCCCTCTTTCTCTCATCCAATTCCAATTCCTTTGACATATTCCATTCCTTCCAAAAACATTCTTTCAACTAATCGCCTCTTAACACATCGTGATTCATTCAGATCCAATTCTTTTGACAGATTCCATTCCTTCAAGAAACATTCTACAAACCAAACACAAACACCCCTTTATTCCTTCACATTTTAATCTCATTTCATTTTAAATATTTAGGTGGTTCATGATGTAGATCGACAGAAAATACCTGTAAGATTTGTGATTCCAAGTGCGGGTTTGGTAGGATCAGATGGGCCCACAAATTGTGGAGCTTTTGACATAACATTCATGTCATGTTTGCCAAATATGATAGTCATGGCACCTTCTGATGAGATTGAGCTTGCTAACATGGTGGCTACTGCATCTTGCATTGATGATAGACCTGTTTGCTTTCGGTATCCAAGAGGTGCAATTGTGAAGTCAAATAGCTCTTTATGCCATGGAGTCCCCATTGAGGTAAAATAAAACACACACCTCAATTGTTTTTTAATTAGTTATAAAGTTATGTTGGTTGTTTAATATCAAGGACAATATGGTTATTATTATATAATATATATCCAGATAGGTAAAGGAAGGATTCTTGTAGAGGGAAAAGACATAGCATTACTTGGGTATGGAGCCATGGTTCAGAATTGTCTTCGAGCTCACTCCCTTCTTTCAGAACTTGGAATTGAAGTGACTGTTGCTGATGCAAGATTCTGCAAGCCTCTTGATATACAACTTGTGAGACAATTATGTCAGAATCACTCCTTCTTGATAACTGTTGAGGAAGGGTCAATTGGTGGATTTGGATCACATGTTGCACAATTCATAACTCTTGATGGAAAACTCGATGGATCGATTAAGGTAATTGTCATCAATAGTTGTGGTTTTGGCCCCAAAATTGCAAAGAGGAAACTATTGAAATTACAACTGTTAAACAAACTTTAGGGACCAAAATCGTTACAATTGAAACTTAGCACCAAAATTGCAAGAGGAAACTATTGAAACTACAATTTTGTAAACAAACTTTAGGACCAAAGTCGTTACAATTAAAAATTAGCACCAAAAGTGCAAGAGGAAACTGTTGAAACGACAACTGTAACTGTTTAACAAACTTTAGGGACCGAAATCTTTACAATTGAAAATTAGCACCAAAATTGCAAGAGGAAACTATTGAAACTACGACTTTTAAACAAAGTTTAGGGACCAAAATCATTACAATTGAAAATTAGCACCAAAACTGTAATTTTAAACAAACTCAGGGACCAAAAATATAATTTACTCTAGTAAAAGATATAGAGTAAATTATTTTTTTGGTCCCCATGTAATGGATATAGCTGATTCTTGCAATTTTGGTCCCAAAAAGTTCTCTTGCAATTCTGATCCTTATATGAGGTTCCTAGTAATGCTTTTGGTCCATATTCCAAGTAAAATGACAATTTTGGTCTTTCAGAGTTTGATTATAGCTGACTTTTGTAATTTTGGTAGAGACAAAAAAAAAACATTACAAAAACCTCAAAAAATTACCAAATATGCAAAGAGAAAACTTGTTGAGGACCAAAACTGATAAAATCAGCTATACTCAGGTACCAAAAATGTAATTTACTCAAAAATATAGTTACACTTTAAATATGAGTAACAAATAAAGATACTATATCTTATTATCAACAAAAAAAGTAAAGTACATTGTTATTTTCAGTGGAGGCCAATTGTGTTACCCGACAACTACATCGAGCACGCATCACCAATGGAACAACTGGCTCTAGCCGGGCTAACCGGGCACCACATTGCTGCAACGGCTCTAAGTCTACTTGGTCGAACCCGTGAAGCTCTTCTTTTGATGTGTTAGAAGCTATATAATGACATCACATCACAAGAGGACAAAATGGTAAATTTTGGGTTTCTTGATGATTTGTATATTCGTTTTATGAGGTTATCTTTGTTTTTTCTTCATTATTTTGCGGGGTTGGAAAGTAGCATCGATGTTTGTAGTTGTGGCATGAGTTTTATACGATGACCTCATAACATTGGTCTCAAGGGAGTAAATATGATTGAAAATTTGGTTCTTGATATCTTTAAAATTTTGGCGTTTGTTCAACTTTGGAAATTTATCTAAAACAACAAATGTAACATCCCAAAAATACAACCCAAAAATTTTCGTTTGAAAACCTTACTAAATCATCATATCAAATATTAAAAGATAAATCCATGGATCATGTGTCTCAAAATGTCATAATAAGTTTATCAAATCAACTGATGTCAAAACATGTCAAAATATCTGAATAAAACTTCCAGGATAAACTGAAGCTGTAGTGGGTGCCATGCCATCATCCCGAGCTCTTACCCTTACTAGCGGAAGTACCTGAAACCAAAAACTGAAACTGTAAGCACAAAGCTTAGTGAGCTCTCCCAAACTACCACATACCATACAATAACAAATAAAGCACTTACTGGGCCTTGCCCACTGCATCGGACCGAAGTCTGAACTAACTGGGGCCTTGCCCCCTGCGTCGGATCGAAATCCGGACTAACTTGGGCCTTGCCCACTGCATCGGACCGAAGTCCGGACTGACTGGGGCCTTGCCCCCTGCATCGGACCGAAATTCAGACTAACTGGGGCCTTGCCCCCTGCATTGGACCGAAGTCCGGACTAACTGGGGCCTTGTCCCCTGCATCGGACCGAAGTCCGGACTGACTGAACATGACATAACATAATCATAACTACTAGCATAAACACATATACTGCATACTGCATCGGACCGAGGTCCGGACTAACTAACACATAAACTTGCCTGAATCACAAAGACATCAAACATACCATACTACTGCATCGGACCAAAGTCCGGAACTACTGCTATCTAATCGGGTCGGCAGTGTGGCCGTAGACCCGTTCCTACTGGAAGGAAAACTCACCTCGAAACACTGGCTGCTGAGATACTAAATCTGAAACTGCTCGACTGCTGCTCCGGAACTCCCCGGCTACAAGTCCTATAAACATTAAATCAAATACTGATAACAAATCTCAGGGCAAAATGACTATTTACCCCTGGTCAAGTCAACTTCCTGGTCAAAGTCAACTTCCAGTTGACCGGACTAGCCGAGTTGGACCGCCAACTCGCCGAGTCCCTTTCATCCATTCTAGTCCTCTACTCGCTTCTACTCGTCGGGTTTGGCAAAGACTCGACGAGTTCTTCTTCGATACTAACATCGAGTCTAACTTCATCCGACTCGCCGAGTTGTATGAACAACTCGTCGAGTTCTCCTTCATCATATGAACACGTCCAGTCTGTGGCTCGCCGAGTCGTATGAACAACTCGTCGAGTCTGAAGAACAACTCGCCGAGTCCCAAGCATGCTATTACTATACAGTCAATTCTAATCGATTTCAGTGCTTCCAAATCATAGATCTGAGCTTCTAGGACTGGTTTTACACGTAAAGTTTCCAACTTTACGTGCATGCACAAGAGTATAAGGCTAAAATACCCAAAATCATCAAATACTAAGCACTTAGGGTTTGGAACAAGGCCATGATTGCATAAAGGTGGCTATAATGAGCTCCTGGAGTTCAATAACGTCCAGATCTAAGGTTTCCATCCAAAGGAGAGTCCATATCTCAAGTTTTGAATCATATAAGGCTCCAAAAGAGACATAACAAGCATAAAAGAGGGTTTAATGGAGGAATACACAAGGTAATAACTTTATTACCTGAATGAGAAATAGATGGAAGCTAACTCTTGGATCTCCTTTCTCTTCTATGGACCTTCTTTCCTTCCTTCCCTTCCAAAGCTTCCAAACTAGCACAAACACACTCAAGTTCAACAATGAGGCTAGGGTTTACAGGGGAAATGCTCTATAGGTGCTGGAGGCTGGGGTGGGAGGCTATAATGACGTTTAAATAGGGTACAAACCCTTGAAATTAGGGCTTCATCCAGACAGGCAGACTCGCCGAGTCCGAGGATATGGACTCGTCGAGTTGCCAACTTAAACCGCGTGCAAATCCCGTCTCTACTCGACGAGTCGGGCTACAGACTCGTCGAGTACACCTTTAAGAAATGAAAATTACTTTAATTAATCACATACCAGAAATGAGGCGTTACAACAAATCAAATAAACTCAACGTCTATAATAAGAAGTAAAATGATGGATTCATATTTTTGCGCCATAGTATATAAAAGTAGTATTACTTAATTTAATTCCATTATAAATGTACTAAGGATATTAGTTATAAACACATGTAGCCTTTTTTGAGTAATTAATCTGAAAAAAAATGGTAAGGTTGAGTTATAGTTTGCTTTTACTTTATAGGTGAACCCGTTGATCCAAATCCAAGACTCCGTTATCATACTATCCAGGCCCAAACATATTAACTTTTAATGAGTTATTAATCCCCACGAGGATTTCCATCTTAAGACGAAATGTACCTAACAAGTAACAACTCAACCATAACTCCATAAGGACAAATATCAATAAATTTAATTGAATAAAAAGCAAAGAAGAAACGTGACATGTTGGAATAAAAACTAAAAAGGGCAAGAATTCGGTGAATGGACCGGAGTCTGAAGAAGGAAATGCCCAACTGTTAAAGTCAACAGCAGATTCCAGCTGGTCCACTTTTTACGCGTTGCCCCTGCACATGAGTTGCGCCTCTACCATATTTGGAAATATACAATTATTCCTCGTTTATGTTATCAAACGGGAAAAAGATTCTATAATGTTCTAAAATATAATATAATATAATGTGCTATACGATGGTTATACATAATTGATAATTCATATTATAACTTAATGTGTGATACCATATATAATAAGTCAGATATTATGAAGCAAATCAATGTAAATATAAAGTTAAAAAGAGAATTAGAAAATATAAATATTTTAAAGGTACCATATTCAATACATTAATATTAATCTCTATATTTAAGAAGCTGGTTATCTAAAAATATAAATATGAAAATTGGTTATTGTTGTTAAACAATTAACCTTATAATATAATAGTACATATTAATCCCTCTCTATGTTAAAAGAGAAAATGACAAAAATAGTCAAATATACTAATCATTTTGTGGAAAATAGCCAAAAAAAAATTGAAATTGCAAAATTGGCCACATAAATCGCAGATGAGAATGGTCCATCTGCGATTTTGACATCCCATCTGCGAATGTACAAGTGGCTAAAGCACAAGTGTGCTTTAGCCACTTGTACATTCGCAGGTGGATATTTTTTATAATTTTTTTCTATATATATATATATATATATATATATATATATATATATATATATATGGGTTTACCAGACTTAAATCGTAGATGGACACAGTCCATCTGCGATTTCCTCTCTATTTCATCTGCGAAATTATGATTTTTTTTTATTTTTTTTATTTTGACTATGTAATCAATTGGTTTGACTACGAAATAACCTTACTATATATAAACTTTTGTAGAAAATTATCAATTTAGTTGTTATTTGTTTAGGAAATTTCGTTAAAATCTCTCTAAAAAAATGATTGAATATCTGGTTTGTCTTGTAACCGGTGGGAGATGACAAGTTATTGAAACAAATCTGGAATACGTATGTCCACAGGGAGGTATTTCTGAATTCGCTTTGATATTTTCTGAGTATATTAGTTATAGTGATTTTGTATCTTTGGTGAGAAGCAAAATTGGTTTGTTAGACAAATATAGAATTAGTCTTCGTTTCCATCATCCTGAATTGAATTATTATATAGCTATAGTTGAAGACATGGATGTTAGAATGTTGATAAATGTAATCAAATGTAGTGGAGGAAGGGCTGTGAAAGTGTTTGTGGTGGTTGATGAAGGAGATGAGGTTAATGAGGCTGGTCACAGTGGAAATCGGCCGGTTGGTAATTTATGCAGCTATAAAGGAGCAACGATCTGATAGGTACTTTCAATAATCCTAGTGTACCTCAATTTCACAGTGTTGCTGAAAATGTTAATGTTAGTTATTCACCTATTCACTATGTGGATCCTGAGAATTACAAGTATGTTGGTGATGATGATGTTGGTACATATCTTAATGATGTGGGTGGTCGTTGTGTTGATGCTCCCGAACAAGAAGTTAAAGCTATGAATAGGCGTGTAGTAGATAAAAGTAAAAAGAAAAAAAAAATTGAGTCAAAAAGATGAAAAAAAGCATGTTTACGGGGATTATGTTGATGTTGCTGATGTACGTTTAGATATAACCGACTTACAAAGCAATTCAGATAGAGATGAGTTGGGTGATGAAGTTAAAGCTAAGTTTCCCGATAACCTTTTTTACGGTATGCCCCCGTACCAGCATGCCCAGTTGATATTAATGAAGATATCCCAACACAGATGGTAGACATCAATCTTCAAAAGATTGAATGTGAGAGTATATTTAAGAACAAAGAACTTTTAAAGTGGTGTATTGGTAAAAAAAATGTCTTCGAGAAGGTTTTCAGACGAGGACAAGTAGATCCACCAAATCAAGGTATGAGGTTGTGTGTGTTTCGAAAAATTGTTCTTGGTTACTAAGAGCAAAAGCAATTAAAAATTCTGATGGACTTTTCCAAGTGAATAAATTTGTTGATGTACACACATGTTCTTCAACAATTTTGCAACCTAATCATCGACAAGCAAACAAATATGTTTTAGGTGAATATCTTGCTGATGTTTTGGTTGAAGATTATAGTAGAGTTTATCGGGGAAAAGATATTATTAATGATATGAATGCTCAATTGAATATCAATATCTCATACCATCAGACATGGCGTGCGAAGCAATATGCATTGTTGTTGTTAAGGGGTACGAAAGAGGGTTCTTTTACCAAACTTCCGGTTTATTGTCACAATTTGGTCAAACATAATCTGGGTACGGTGACACATATTAAAACATATGGTGATGATCGCTTTGAGTTTTTGTACGTCGCACTTGGTTGCTCGGTTAGTATTTTAATATTTTATTAATTTTTTCATTTTTATTTTGGTGTATTTGAATAGATATACAATGTATTGTAGGTACACGCTTTTGTCAAATTTTGTAAACCGACCCTTGTAGTAGATGGA